TCCCAGGGGACCAATTTTGTTTTCTCTTGACTCCTCTCATTAGCTATGACACTTGGGTTCATGCCAATGAAATAGACGCTGAAATTGAGGATCCTCCAATTCCTGAAAAGCCATGGAAGGTAAGTCTCTCTTAAACAGTTTCCTAATATTCTGTATTGGTATAGCTCATGCTCAAGTGCTACTAGGTAGATGTTTTAACATGCTGCTGAGTATCAGTGGCTGTATTTCCGTGTATATGGAAAAGCAGAGTGAGATTTCTAGAGTTGTAATGAAAACGTCCAAAACATTTCTTTGGTCTGGGGAGGAATGCTGTTGAGAAAATATTTTTTGTAAGTGGAAAGGACAGACCGATGCATCCCTGATAGTGCCAAAATTACCATGTTTACTTTGGCCTGACTTTTGAGGTGTTTTGTGTTAAAGGTAAGTCCTTCTCGTACTGCTGAAGTGCAGCCATCTCTGTGATGAAACCTGACAACTCATTAGAAGGCATAATGGCATTACACAATGTTTTAAGGAGAGGAAGTGGGGAAAATACCGTATCTTTGTGAGGTTTTTGGAAGAATATTGTTAGAGAAAAATCCTACCAGGTTAGAAGCTTGAGGTTACTGCACATGCATTACAGGGCTTAAAACATTTTGTGTGGAGAAAGTTCATCCTTTTCTATAATATAGTAATGGCCAAAAATATTGGGACTTTAATAATACGGAAATTAAGAATCTTCTTTAGGAGAACGGATCTGAATTTTTGAAGTCTGTGGTACCATTGAAATCTTGTTCTTTTTGAATTAATTTTAACAGCAACTTTATTTCCAGCAGTTTTGGGTATTAGGAGCAAAGCAGGGCTGTGATCCTGACAAATTGTGTGTGGCCGTGGGCTCCCCCATCCCCTGGTTTCACACTGCTGTGGAAGCTCTTGAGTCTTAGCTCAGTACTGCTGCAGTTACCAGCTTCTGTATGCTCTTAGGACAGGGCGCAGTTCAGGTTTCTTGATTTTACTAAATTTGCCAAAAGCCCTGGCATTGCTGAAGAACTGTAGTGTATGAATGCAACTGTCCCTAGAGTTAGAGCCAACGTGAAAGTGTCTGAGAAAATCGGTAGCTGTTTAAAGAATCCCTGATGGCCGTATCTCGTCTTTCTTTATGGAAAGGTTCCATTTAATGGGAACTCTGCTCTTAGCTGATGTTGTAATAATGCAAAATGTTAGCACTTCTCAATCTGTTGAACATCACACGAGCTTTCAAACCAACATCAGCAGCCTTACTTAGGTTCTCTACAAAATTAGTTTTCTTTCTACAGAAATGATTTGTTGTTCTGATTTAGCACATTGCAAATGAACAGTACAGAGCAGTTATAATCAGACAGTAGTAAATGCTACTTTATTGTCCTTTTATTGGACTTACTCTTTTATACATAACATGCAGTGTTGTTCGGTGTGTGTGCTGTCGATTTGAACAGCAGAGTTAAAAAAGAGCGGCTCAGGTCAGAAAATAACTTGATATCTATTCAAACACTACTTATTTATTCCAAGTAGTTACCTGGAACATAAACACTTTTTTGTATAAACTATACTAAAGCTCAAGAATTTATTTTCATTGTGCAGCTATGTAAATTAGAACTTCATTTGAAGATGGGTGTTTTAAGTCAGGATAGTCAATCTTTTCTTTCCAAGATATGGCCAACTCTTCCTATTTTTTGTCATCTTTGTGGCACAATATATCTGCTAAGATGAGATGTCTTCCAAGTAGATGATTTTGACGGTTATTTTCAGCATCCAAAGTATGCTTTTAATACAGAGCCTTTGTCCCAGCTGTGAGAACTGACCTCACACTTCAGAAGGCCTAAAAATCACTGAGGGACAGACATGGCATTCAGTAGACTTACGGGTGTGTTGATCCCTCACTATATTGCCTCATAAAACTGTCATCTGTTACATGTAAAGCCGTTACAAGATACTCAAAAGTTCAGACCCTGATAACGCAGCAAGTGTGTCCTTCATCCTGTGAGGTCTGTTAGGGAGATATTTTTTCAAAAAACATCAGCATGTCGATATATCATTCTTTAGGTTCACGCCAAGTGGATATTGGACACAGATATATTCAATGAGTGGATGAATGAAGAGGATTATGAGGTAGATGAGAACAGGAAATCAGTGAGTTTTCGACAGAGAATCTCCATGAAAAACGAAGAGGTACGTGGCTCTTTGCTTAATGAGTGACCTGTTGATACACTAATACACTTCGTCTCTGCATAAGTCAAATTTTTTGGCACTCGAAGTTGCTAAAATTAAGCCAATGAATCAGTTTGAGGTGCCTCTGATAACAGAATCTAGTTTAACTTTTTCCTGATGTTTGTCCTTTATCCAGAGTGTAAGTGTGCCCTTTGATTTTTCTATTTCCCCCCTCCCAGATGATGGTAAGACATGGGACCCATTCTGCTTTCTCATAACTGAAGCCATGGGTGTGTTAAGCTGCATCAGTTAAATGTTCGATTTCCAAATTCTCTGTACCAAAATACTTGTTAACTAGTTTTTGTATCCCTCCCAACACAGGAAGTTAGTTAGGACTCTGCAAATGTTCATTTAACCTTGAGGCCAGGCTACTCATTAAGAAATCTCTCCTGATGGATACAGTATATTGAACAAGTCACATTAATGTTTGACTCTTGCTCTGTTTTAAGAGCACAGTTCTTAAGTATGTAGCCATTGCAGCATCTGGGGGATGGCTGTAGAAAATTATGGGGTTTTCACGTTGACAAATGGAAGTATTCTGGCACCGACTGTGGTGCATCTTGTGTTGATACTGCTTTTAGCTTCTCTGTTGTAGAATGTATTAAGGAAGAGTGTAGCCTACAGCATTTCATTAACTGTAGTATTTGGCATGAGGTAACTACTTCACTTCTCTAACAGCCTGTACGTAGTCCGGAGAGGAGAGACAGGAAAGCAGCGGCAAGTACAAGGAAGAGAAAGCATTCTCCTTCTCCACCCCCCACTCCTGTGGAGTCGAGAAAAAAGACGGGGAAGAAAGGGTGAGTGTCTAAGACCTGGAATTTGAGGCAAATTTTCTTGAAGAAATGCTTATGGGAAGATCTCTGTCACCTTTCACTTGTCTATCCTCAGATTACAGTAGAATGATTATTTCTGCTATAGACTTGAGGGATTTTGCTCATGCAGTATATGTAATTTCTTCACATATAGTAAAGAAATGTATTGCCTGCAGGTGGAGGAGAATCTAGTGCAAGTTGTCATGTTATCTGTGTCAGCGACGGGGTTCATTGCTGCATCAAGAGTAGAACTTACCAAATGACAAGTTACTCAGGTGCTTCTAAAATAACTCAAACTGGTTAGTGGAGTCCTGTAGTACATGTATGGTTTTTGAAGTATGGCCCCATAAATTATGGCATTTAATTGAGGAGTTTATCTACATAGCCAGGTATTTTAAAGTTCACTTCTCAAATGCAGCTTTAACAGAGCAGCATTTGTGGTTACTGGTAAGCTACAGATTAGGCTTTTTCCAATACTAGTTTGAGCTCAAAAAAAAAAAAAAGCCAACAATATAGCCAAATAAAAGCTTATTTATAGGAGTTTGTGTATGGATATCAAAGAATCATAGAACTCTCATGTTGGAAGGGACCCATAAGGATCATCAAGCCCAGCTACCTGTTCCTCGCAGGATTACCTAAAACTAAACCATATGACTAAGAGTGTTGTCCAGATGCTCCTTGAACACTGACAGGCTTGGAGCGCTTCTGAACTAATAGTTCAGGTTGTTTAATAGCCCTGTTGGGCTCTAGTAAGACAAGACTGGAAATTTATCATCTGAGGTGAGGAAGAATTAGTTGATAATCTGAATTACTTTTTTACTCCGAATGTAGATTCTGAGTTAGATTCTGTAAGGATGGGTGATTCTGCCTTTCTTCCCAAAATGGTTTCCTCAGTACGCAGAACTGATTGCACAAATGAGCCTTTTTCCTTAAATAAGGCAGTGTGCCTTGAAATGGTCTGTTCCCTCTTCTGTTCTGTGCAGCAGATGCCATTATTGCAACTTCAGAAAGGACAAATGTGAGTGAATCACTGCTCCCTTGAATCTTACTAGTATACAAATGCTGCCAATGTGCTGGGGAGAGTTTTGGGCTGGAATCAAGATTTATATACAGTGGTGGTCTCCAGTCTTGAAACAGTGGAAAAGACTTCTTTTTGAAGCTTAACTTTGTTTTAGTAATATACAGAGGATATTTTTCATTAACTTCACCCCCACTTCCTACAGCATTCATGTTTTCCGAACTGTTTTAACCCAGTCCTTTAATCCTCATATCTGAAGAATAACGTCAAGATGAGAACATCTGACAGTTGCAGCTGGCAGAGAATTTGTGTGTGATCTGTTTTAGACAAGCAGCCTTATATGGGAAAAGGAGAGGGCAGAAGGAAGAAGATGAGCAAGAAGATCTTACAAAGGACATGGAGGATCCCACACCAGTACCTAATATAGAAGAAGTGGTACTTCCCAAAAATGGTAAAATATGCATACACTAGATTGTTTGAATGTTAAAACAATTGCTTAAACTGCACTGAAAAAATACACGTGTTTTGTCAAATCTTTGAAATACTTTGTGGCCATGGGGCCAGGTGATATGCGCCCATCTAAATTTATTTAGTCAGGGATTTGAATGTGACAGCTGAGAAGGGCAGCAGATTCACCACCTTTTGGCTTTTTGAAATACACTTACAAAAATGCACCTAAATGTTTAGTTTTGCCTATTTTAGGATTGCTCTTGCCCATTATATGGGGTTCATGTTTTGGGGCATGGAGTTTTCTGGAGGAAAAGAATTGTATGTCAAGTACCCCAGATAAGCATGTCAGATGGGTGGAAACTCTAGCAACGTGCCAAATGCATTCAGTTCTTAATCCTTTTCAGAAGAGTGTTGGTCTATGCAATACCTGTTAAGTAAAGATAAATCAGAAAAAGAATTCCTTGTATCAAGTTCTTGACACCAAACCTTTTCCGGTGTCACACCATTTGGTTTTCACCTGGTTTGGACTTTGCATGTAAGATTTGCTATGTGTTGTATAGGTGGAAAAAGTGCAGTACCTAGTCCACTGACTGCATGAATAGAAGTTGCTTTGTGTTCAGATGTGAAATTACAGAGAAATCAAACAAATGGTCTGTTGTACTCAAACTGCACAGATGAACTCTTTTGAACTGCAAAGGCATGACCAACAAGAATGTTTATTGATAGTAAAAGCATGCTAGACTTTGATAATTGTATCTTGTCTGATGGTTACTCATCAGTTTCAATCTTCCTTCTTTTGTAGTGAACCCAAAGAAAGACAGTGAAAACACACCTGTGAAAGGAGGAACAGTAGCAGACCTTGGTAAAACAAACACACAACACTCCCCAGCACCCTCTGCCCTAAGTTTTGTAGTAAAGTCTTACTTGCAGGCCAGCAGAGCAAATATTTAAAAATCTCTTAGTTTTAAAAAGAATCTCTAATTCTACTGTTTCATTGAGTTATGTTTTCATATGTATTCGAGTTGAAACCTATTGACTGTTTTTTCACTTGCAAGGCTCTTCCCTTGTAGGTTTTTTTTTGTTTGTTTGTTTTCTGTTTTTTTTTGGGGGGGGGGGGGGGGGTGGTGTTTTTTTTGTTAACATGGCATATAAGCTCCTTCCTGGCAGAATTTTTCTTTTCTTACTGGGAATCAAGGTGAATCACAGTCCCTGAGCTTTGCTAAGCCTTTGGCGTAAGAGATATAAATTAGTGTCCCGCATCCTATTATACAAGGATAGGGCACTGGGTAAGGCAGTAATTAGGTATGGATTCCTAAGTGTGGAAAAGTTCTAATTATCCTTCCTCTGTGTTCTTATGTGTTCCTTTGTCTGGGATAGTTGAGTGCCTGCTTAGGGATGAGGTTGCCTTAATGATGTGTGGTCCACTTTGCTTTCCTCCTCGCTTCCCTTCCAGAACAAATGAAATTCTCTTTCCAATTAAGTAATTGCATTGCTAGAAGGGCTTATGAGCAATCAGATGCTTTTTATTAGTGCAATTCTCAATGCTTTTACCTTTCAGATGAACAAGATGAGGAGGCAGTGGCAACTGGAGGAAAGGTAACAGCAGCCATTTCTTACTAAGTTTGGTAGAAACTGAGATCACAGAATTGTAGACCAGTTCAGGTGGGAAGGGACCTGTAAGGCCCATCTAGCCCAACCCCGGCCATGGGCAGGGACATCCCCAACCAGAGCAGGTTGCTCAGAGCCCCGTCCAGCCTGACCTGGGGTGTTCCCAGGGATGGGGCATCCACCCCCTCTCTGGGCAACCTGGGACAGGGTTTCACCGCCCTCAGTGTGAAATGTTCCTTCCTTCTATATAGTCTAAATCTGCCCTCTTTTAGTTTAAAACCGTTACCCCTTGTCCTATCAAGATCTCCATCTCATCTTCAGTAACTTAACCTGTCATGTCTTTATATAAGATTAGATTAGTCACTGATAGGAATGTTGTTTTGCTATTATAAAAATAGTACAAATGCCTTGAGATTATTTTGTATTTTTAAATCTAGTATATAAAAAAATGAGAATGAGGAGACAGATTGAAAGTATTTTCAAAGAAGCACTTTTCAGATGCAAATTTTTTCAAATGTTGTATTTTTTTCTTTAGGTTTCAGGACTAAATCTAAACTCTAGATAGGCTTCCTGATAATTTTCATAGAGTTGTCAGGGTAGTTTCTGTATTGAATTGCATTGTAGGTATGCCAGGTGCTATTTTTAACAGCTTGCCCGGTATAAGATGGCTGCCTGATGATGCAGGTAAGAAAAGACCACATCTATGTTAGGTTCATATAGTTGCAGGCCTGCACGCACAGGCACTTGGATGTGTCCTTAGTTACACACATGAATAAGAAAATCTGACTTTCCATACTGACGTATTTCTAGTTTTACTGTATTTCAGTTCATACATTCAATCTGTATATTCAGGAGTGCTCAAAAAATCCTTTCTCATGTTCTAAAATGGGGAGCGACGACAGGTCTAGGTGTGCAAACCACTGACTGGCTAGTAAGCAGCCTTTCTTTTAGGTTTTAGGCACAGGTATCACACTAAGGAGCAGTGGGTTTAAGTATCTAGATACGGACGTGTGAACAGAGATCGCCAAAATAGGATTCTTAAGCAAGCACTGTTTTCCAAGTTAGGGAAACTAACTTGGAAGGAGTGCGACAGCAGGCTTGTCCATGATGCAAAATGCCTTTTTTTTTTTACTGGTGTAACTTCTCCATCCCTGGGTGTAGAATGACCTGGAACTGTGGGACTCGGGCAGCAACCTTACTATTTAGTCCACGTTAGACTGGAGGAAGTTTGCTTTTTATGGCCTGGGCTAAATGGTGTTCCCTGGGGGGCCGTGGTCGGTCCTGTGTTTAGTGAATGCACTTTGAGAGAAGGGTATTGGAAATCGAGGGGGTGATGAGAGGAAGGACTTCTTTTCTGAATAGCTATTGTCAGATCACTAAATATATTTAGCATGGTACCTTGTTGTCTTGGGGGGAATTTAGTCCCCAGAAAGATACATCATTGATACCAGTGACTCTGAGGCCTTGCTTTAGGGAGATGGTTATTTTTCTGTTTCTGTGAAAGCTCTCTGGATTAGTAACTTGGGTAAAGAAAACCATTTCATGTTGAGTTGCCTACAGGCTCTTCAAGTAGCACCTGAGGGTTTCTCTTACGGTTCATATCACATCCTGACCCTCTTAGCCACGTCTGTGCCCTTCTCTTTATCTTTATGGATCAGGACGTGAGCGTGTGCTGGAACTGAAGTTGCAGAACACCTAGAGGTCACAGGAAGCTTCTGTTGTGAAGCAACAGAAAGTGACCAAAGACTTGTCCCTCTTGGGAGTTTTAAAATCTTGCTCGCTGACGTCTTCACAGCCCTGTATGAGCAAACTCATGGGTCTGTTCACCCTCTGAGTGGAAGCAGATACAGGGACATGCAGAGTTACAAGTTGAACTTGGCATCTTTTCTTCACAAGAGAAAAATATCCAAGACCAGCTTTAAGATTGATCGAAGTGAGTTTATCCAAGCAAAAATCTAGGGTAATGAGATGCAGTTTTGCAGACATGAAACTATAACTGCTGACAAGTGTCTCCCAGTGAAACTCGAAGTAATGAATCTTATTTCTGTTAATGCTTTTCTGAGGAGTGAGAAGGTTAATGGAGGAAGAGTGGCCAAAAATACAACCCATCTTAGACAGTATTAAAAATTGGTGCAGTGACGGTAACTGGAGATGGCAGCAAGAGCTAGACTGACAGCTTACAAAGTACACTAGATTCATGCTGTGTTAATTACACGTGTTTGCAGTATACTGCAGAATTGAAATGCAGTGTTTTGTCCCGTAGAGCGTGCTTAATTTTATAAACAGGGTGTGAAGCATGATCTAACTGTACTGCCAAGTATCTCCTTGAGATTTCAGCCAGCTCTGTAAAAACTTCTTACTGGCCTTACGCTTCTGTTAATATTTTTATGAACACGGGTTACACTTTCTTTGGTCCCTGAGATTTTCCCCACTGACCAGAGATTGCATCAAGAAAAGTTTATTCTGCACAGGATTGGAAAGCATTTGTTTTGGACTAACTTTGTGCTGGTTGAGAGTTATTAGGTATGTCTCTTGCAACCTGTTAACTGTTGTGTTTCCTCCATGATACAGGAAGATGAAGATCCTAACAAAGGTGATCAAAGTCGGTCAATTGATCCAGGTGAAGATAATGTCACAGAACAAACCAACCACATCATTATTCCAAGCTATGCATCTTGGTTTGACTACAACTGGTAAGAAAATAATTTGGAACTGGGGGAAGATTTAAGAATTTTGGTGGTTGTTTCTCATAAATCAAGCTGAGAGCTGAAGTAAATTACTTTTAGGTCTAATTCCCATGTAGGGGTACATCTTTTTAATTTAAAAATCTTTCTGAGCTGACTTCTGGCAGTTCTCAGGGGTTGGGAATGAGGAAGAGAACTTCAAACAGCATAGATCTTCAGTCTACCTTCTCAGGATTTTATTGCTTTACACTGGCTTTTATTCTACCCCACAGCAATAGGAAAATAATTCCTTTCTCTTCCCTACTTCTCTGGTCCTTACGTGATCTTTCTATGTTTGTATCTACTTCTGAAAGCTAGTGGCTTTTTATTTTGCTTCAGATCTTGTCTTTGAGAGTAAGTCACTGATTATACAGGGAGGATAATTGTTTCATTTTGGAATCCTCCTTGGAGTCAGAGGTTTGTGGTGTGCTATGACCATATATTTCATTATAGTAACTGTAATGTTCTCTATGCTCAAACTTTCATGGTGTGGGAAAAAAGCAAGCATTTGTTTGGGAATGAAACTCCCTCTAGGAGTTAAACTCTTACATAATATATTTTTGAAAATAAAAACTGCTTTGGAAACAGGACAAGGAATAGTCAGTCATATGGAAAGCTGTAATTTGAGTGTGCGTTTTGTCTTAGCGTTAGGAGTTGAGACATTGTTTAGGCTGGAATCTAAAAAGATGTGCTGTGACACTTGAGTAGTAGGATTCATGTGCAGCTTTCAAAAGTGAACAGCTTTTTTGTAGTAGTGAATTAAGATGGGATCTGAACTGTTAGTGTAAGAGCTGATTAAATTTCCAGCTCCAGCAAACTTTGTTAACTTGAGTCAGTTGCTTAGCCTGTGTCTGTGCTAGTGGCTTGAGTTGACCTAAATCCCCGTATATAGAACCGACCATTTTCTCAGTCCCCTTGCTCTCTCCCACTTTGAGATGATCCTGGAACAGAAAAGCCAAGGATCACATACTCTGAATGTATAGGTGCTTCAATTGCTTTGTGAGTGGAAAAACTCAAGGTGTATCTCTGTTATGTACACAGAATGAAACGCTCCACTCTTGCACTTCATAAAGGGATAAAGAACTGTGGATCTGCTGTAGATCAGGAAAGGCAACTTTGCATAGCTTGAGCTAATTGAGATTTACTTTAAACCAAGGTTGGCATATTTGTAGTCTCTGTGTTTCCATTCCTTGTTTGTCAAGTGAAGGTACAATGATACTTCCCTACTGATAAAATTACAACAATGACATTTTGTCATGAGGTCACTCTGACACTATTGTACAACTTTTTCCATTCAGAGATAGGTTTTTGTAGCTCTGGAGAACTAGAGAGCGCTGGTTCTCCCACCTCAGGAGATAGGTTTTTGTAGCTCTAGAGAGAACTAGAGAACTAGAGAGCGCTGGTTCTCCCACCTCAGACTGCAGGTGTTGCTGCTGTTGCTGTGCCAGCAAGATGCTTCTTGGTTTATGTAAATATATAAACAAATCACTGTCTGCAGCCTTCCCAAATTGCAAATATTTCTTTAAGGTGCCCAGTCACAACTAATTTAAAGGAGTCTGAAGACTAATTATGATCTACTTCTCTAAATGTTTTATAAACTGCTCTTTCAGAATAGTCCTTGCTAAAATTAATTTTCTAGGTAAATTTTAATGTTCAATTCAGTTTCAGTGTAATCTTACGCTTTGGCAACTTCATTGCAAGAACTAGATAATTTGTTTGTTACTGAAATCTGAACAGTTTATTGGTTAATCTTCACCTTCAAGTTAGAGAATTTTCCTATGAATGACAAGGGTAAGCAGTATCAGTGTAAAAGGACAATTACGTGGTAGATTAAAAGACAGGAGGAAGGAAGATTTGTAAAGGATATATTTTTCTATGTTTCCTTTAATAGTAACAATTCTTAAAGGACCATTGTAGTTCTTAAGATTTTAACTTGTCTAAAATACCATTCTACGAGTTTCTGGCTTAAGTTACTCTTAGAAGCCCTGCATTTCTGACACTTTTTTTATAAAATGGAAGATTTTTTAATCTTGTTTTCTGGCTTAAGTTACTCGTAGAAGCCCTGCATTTCTGACACTTTTTTATAAAATGGAAGATTTTTTAATCTTGAAACTATTTCCTCACTTACTAATTGGTGGGTTAAATCTTAGGTCAAAGAATTTGCATAGTAAGGTCTTAAAGAAAAAATGAGTTGACTAATCAAGGTCCCATATACTCTGGCTGTTTACTTGCATTGTAATTGTGCTTTGCAGTGAAAACCCTATTACATATCATACTATATGCCATGGATAACACAAAATGATCTTGTTCATTTGTTGCTGGTAGAGCTCCATAGGTGCAATCACCCTGCAATTAAAACGTTTCAGGACCAAATTTCCTTATTTATATTAAAATAAATCATATCACTTCCTCCAGTCTTTTATTAAGGGAATATGAGAATAAATGTGAGTATGTGATTGCATAAGTTTCTGCAGTGCCATTTACATTGTCAGGCTGGTAGTACAAGCAGAATGGAAGATTCTACTAAAATAACATTTAAACTTAAATGACACTTTACCTGGAACAGCTATGGAAGGAAAAAAGCAATAATGTGTCTGCCAAATAACTAAAGCTGAATTTGCTGTGATCTTTACCTTAGTTTATTTCATATACTGCGTAGCACCTCATCTGTCATTAGTTCTGCTCTTCCATACGTGGTCAGGTTTTGCTCCGAATTTCGTCCTTGGAGTGCAAAGGGGAAGAATTATTTTTAAGATTGTGTTTAGTTGCTCCAAATATCCATACTCTGGATTTTATTGTCCCAGTTGATCAGGGAGGTACTATCTACGTTCTTGAAGCCAGTCAGTCTCGCCACCAGTGAGCGTTGGTAATTACTGTAGACCCAACTTTGGAGTTGGACTCAAAGCACTTACTTGCATTCCCATCTTCTAAGCATATACTGTAAAAGCTTGGTTTCTTTGAGGTATTGGTACTTTGCTGAATGCTTGCATTAACTAGGTTGAAGAATAAAGATGCTCTGTCAGAATACAGAATTCATGAAGGTACGGTTGCAAATGGGCTGCTGCTCAGTATTCTTCCTTCAGATTTTGATTAGGACAGCGTCAGATGCATAGTTTCGCTTCAATCAATGAAGGAATTTTGTGGTGCTGTTTTAATGCTTATTTGATGAAAGAAGCAAATTTCAAAGGACCATGCTAGAATACTAGGGGTTTTTACATAGAAAAAAACAACAAAACCAAAAAAACTTGCTATTAATGTACTCCCTCAAAATAGTCATTTGAAGGTTTGTGGAGTACTCCAAGAGTAGTGGAATTCTTAATATTTGGCATCTGAATTGTGTATTTTTGTTACAGTATTCATGTGATAGAACGTCGTGCTCTTCCTGAATTCTTCAATGGAAAAAACAAGTCCAAGACTCCAGAAATGTAAGTTGTGAATATAGGTGTGTAAGCGTTCGGCATGATAAAGGAGCTTTCAGTTTCATGAATCCTGTGGTCACTTCAGCTGTGCATGTGTTAAGCAGATACTGTCTGTAGGGGCGTGAAAGAAGGAAAGAGCACCTGTGCAAGCACTTCTTGTAGTCTGATAGTGTCTGTGCGCTATTGTATCAGAGCTAAAATTTGAAATATCAAAGTAACAGTTAATAGTGGTTATCCAGGAAAAACAAAGCTAGTTTCTCCCAAGTAATATTGGAACAAATTCTTGAACTTTTCTATGTGATACAAGACATGATTATCTTCCAGAGACATCTGAAAAAATTCATGATACTGTAGAAACTGAACAATCGTCCTTATTTTTCTCTCTCTTCTCATGCCGTGCTGTATTTTTGAGAGTCACGAGTTTTATATGTAAGCACTGATCACCGAGTTTATTGTAGGGTGCTGTGTCAGACTGTGGAATGGATTTTGCACAGTTATCTGTGGTGATTTTGCAGTTCCCTGAGCAGCTGATGGGTAATTCTGAAAGTGCAGCTGGGGGTTGGAAAATGGATCTTCACAGGCCCAAGGTATAACTGTGTTTTCAAATATTAGGTAGTCTGATTTAAATTGGAGAGCTGGAGTTGGGCATTGCAAGAAGAAAAAAATTTTTTTTCTTATATAGCTATTCTAAACCCTCTAGTGACATTTTAATTCTGCACATGCCTGTTAAATCTAGGTGGAGTTCTCGGCTGAATTTAGATCTAGTTTGTACCTAGCTCATCTCCTTGTGGGAACTGGTATTTATCACAGAACTTAAGCGTTCTTAATTCAAAATTATACACACAGAGTTGTTCAAACAGCTTAAACAGCTTCCCTGAAGGTGTTTAAAATAAAAAAAAAAGCGCTGATTATTGTCTTGAGGTATTGCAGGTTTTTTAATACATCAAATTATCAACCTCTGATCTCACTTAGCAATGTAATGAGATAAGCTGCTGATTTTGCAGCTTGTCTTGAGAATCTGCAAGGCTTGTTACACGCATTAGTAAAAGTACACCGTCCCTTCTCTGAGAAGTTTCTGTTATAACAGTAAACTTAGTTATTCAGAGCAATCTTGAACAGTGGTCGATTAAAGGAAGATAGTCAACATCAGGCTTTTGAACAATGTGCTTGTTTCTATTGAAATTCTAATCCTAAAACCTCAGTGTTCACCGAAAAAAAAATTTGAACACCACTGTATGCTTGTCATCTTGGACAGTGGACCTAGGCTGTCCGCGTTCACTTTATCTTGGTATCAAATCTTGGTCTAGTTGCAAAGCAGCTTTTGGAGATTTTAAAGCAATTTTCTGAATTAACTACTAAATGAAGCATTTGAGGTGTCTTCTCAGTACGTTGTTTTAACATCAGCAAAGCTGTGCATTTCTCATGCATAACATTTCTTCACTAACTTTATTCCTCAGTGTCTTCCTAGTGCAAGTGACAGTGGTAATACCATCCTGCATTGCTCTTCCTGCAGGTAAACAAGGCAGACTTCAGAGAGAGCGTTCTTGTGCTTGAATCGCCTCTTCTCAGACGTGACTGATATTTTGTGAGGCTTCTGATCTAATTGAGACAGGGATTAGAAACTAAGCTTTTTCAGCCTGAGAAGAGAAGGATTGGGAGACCTTATAGTTGTTGCCCAGTGCACAAGGAAGTTACTGAGCGGACAGAGCCAGGTGCATTACTGGGGTGTGTGCCAGGAGAAAAATAAGTCAAACTGAGGCGCAGCAAGTTCTGTCTTGATATAAGGGGGATTTTTTAACTCTGAAGAAGATGAAGCACTGGGGTGGGGCCCTGAGAAGATGGGAATGTTCATCCTTGGAGTTTTTCAGGCCTGGCTGGACAAAGTCGTAAGCAACCTGGTCAAAATTCAGTGCTGACCCTGGTTTGAGTAGGAGATTGTCTTAGAGACCTCCTGAGGTCCCTAGCACCCTGAATGATTTTTCAGTCTATAGTCTTTACTTGCAAATACTCTACATGTCTGAATTGGAGAGGTAGCTGTAGCTGCATCATAGTGATTCCAAAATGTATTTGACACTAACTCTGCTCCATCAGTTTTTACTGTTCAGCATATTTTTGTTTTGGGGTTTCTGGGGCTTGGTGTCTGAGACTGCAAGCAGGTTGAATTGTGGAAGAACACTTAACTTTCATATTTGCCATTGATGTGGTCATCACATGTAATCCCATGCTTCCTTTTTCAGTTGACATCAAAACATCAGGTCTCCTGATACTGATCTGTGTGCTGCTACTGGTTATTGCCTATGAGTGAAGCAAATTAGGGACTTCCCTTCTGCCAATCCTCTAGGATAACATGAGTTGTATTTTTGTTGCCATTTAGGGATTGTAGGAGTAGCGTATGGTCTTGGCTTTGTGTTTTCTTTTTAAATAAAATAGAAACATCCTTTTGAATGGAAATGTCTTGCCTCAGCGTAGTGTTCAGGCCAAACAAAATACCATGTTTCAAAAGCTCACACAGGTTCATTCTTGTGACAGTAGTGCCCGGGGGATGGTTTCTGTCTTAACTAGTATTTTGTTAAAATCCCCTTCGACTTACCTATCATTTGTTGACAAGTTTTAGCTGATGAGTCATGTCACTGTCAAAACCAGACTTCCTTCAGGATAAACTTTAGGGCTATTTCTGTCTTAGGCTTCTCTCTTTGCCTACTAATGTGACCTTAACTAATCAGTATTAAATTAATTTCTGCAGCCAAGACTGCTTTAAAGTACCTACTCTTGAGCAGGTGGCAACCAAACTCTCTCCAGGAACATTCAGAAATGTACCTGAATAGTCCTTTCTGGAAGAAGCTCCCTTTTTGTTTCTTGCCTACCAAACAGTCAGCATGGAGGAGCCAAACATCTAGTTCCATAACTGTTTTCCAGCAAGTCTCATACATAATTTGGTCAGAATGAAGATGTGGGATTTTGGCAGGAATATGTACTTCAAGCATCTATCTGCTTATGTCTTGCCTGTGAAAGGCGTTGGTGTTCCATCTCTGCATGATTTATATTTTTGATTACCAGCTGCTTTTGCACGTGAGACATCCCTGTCTTGAATTTTCCAAAGGCAGAAATCTGCTTATCATATGCTGTTTGGAACACATCTTTGCATAGGATACTCACTTGTATGTGGCAGATTGGTTTTGTTCCATCTAAAGAACAGGGCTAGCAATAATTTCATGGTAGTTTATTTTGTTCTGAGCAACTTGTGTTAGGAAGCATTAGTACATTGCAGAAATTTACTGAAAAAGCCTGCGAAGCAATGTCTACAGTGCAGGAAATGGGCTGAACCCCAAAACCTGCTTACTTGGACTGTTGTGCACTGAAATAGAGGACACTCATGGGGGTTGTTTCTGCTTTCGCTGTTCCCAGCTCAGTGAGTGGGGAGTGCAGTGCTGGCTTCTGGGTTCTTGCCCTCTGCTTTTCAAAGATCTTGTCTTCTCCATTTTGCCGTTCTCTAACCTTTCCTTATTGATCTTTTTATGCATTAAGTCCACATGTAGAAACAGTAGTGTTCCATCCAGTGTACTGCTGCTGAGTTTGTGCACAGCTTTTTTCCTTTCAGGCTCACAGAGGGGGTTGCCAAGGATTATTTAGCCTGTTTCCATGGGAAGACCAGATCCCGTTAATTTTTTTTCTGCAGCTAGCAGTCTCTTGCGCAAGTATTTGGTTAGTGACTGAGCTACGGCAACTATTTGTGGGATTTGCAATTTAAGCGTGCTTCAATGTACTGCTAATCCAAACACAGATAATCTAGAACGAAACAATCTGGAAGAGATGGGTCTTATTCAGTATGTAAAAATAAATTGTACTTACCTATTGCTTTTGATACTCATTCTTAAATTTCATCAATAAAAATTATCTGTTGGTGTTTGCTTGTCAGTAATACAGGTATCTGGAGAAGGTGAATCCTAAAATACATATTCTAAACTTTGTTAGACATCAGTGTTCATGAACCACCTATCAATTGTCTTCCAGATACCTGGCTTACCGCAACTTCATGATTGACACCTATCGCTTAAACCCTCAAGAGTACTTGACCAGCACTGCCTGCAGAAGGAATCTGACTGGAGATGTGTGTGCTGTCATGAGGTAAAAGCCATGGATCTTTCAGCCACTGCCTTCTCTTTAACAAAAAAAAAGAAGAGCTGCATTAGAAATGGAAATGCTCTGTCAGACTATTTTATACTATTTATTTATAATATTCTGTCTGCTGAATCATGTCTACAGAGTTTGGATCTTATCTTGTGATTACTTAGGTTCTGCTGTTTAGTAAGTACGTGGAGTTTTTTTCAGAAATTCCAGTTTTGCAAGTCAGTTTTGTCAGTTTTATGTTTCACCAGCCTTAAGCTGTGAGGTGCAGCGGAGCCCTGGAAATTTGGAACTTGCTAAATGTCAATTCAGTGAAGAACAGCTCCAGATAGACGAGGGAAGAAAGCCAATGGTTGTGCAACCCTCACAATCCATACATTGTCTGCAAATGGTTCCGTGCATGCAGCCCTAGCTTTGCTTTGCCTTTGTCCTTAATTAATTTCCTGTTAGCCATAACAAAAAATGTCATGTTTTGTTTTATGCAACATGCTGAAGTGCAGTCAAGTCTGCATAAAGCTCGTACTGTGTCATTTGTATTGCTATTTGTGATTAGTGAAGGACTATAGAAGATTCGGGATCCGTGTTTGAGCCGGAAACAGAAACTTCTTCCTTTGCTGTCGCCTTTCTGCAGTGTCAAGCATTAGCAAGGCTTTAGTTGTTCAGATTTTAATTTGTCACGTTCTTTCATAGAGTACATGCTTTTCTGGAGCAGTGGGGTCTCATTAACTACCAAGTGGATCCAGAAAGCCGTCCCATGGCAATGGGCCCTCCCCCTACTCCGCATTTCAATGTGCTGGCTGATACGCCCTCGGGACTCATGCCTCTCCATATCCGCACTCCGCAGGTGAGCCCCGCAGGTCACACTAACGTGTGTTTGCTGTAGCTCTAGCCAGTGTCATTTAACATGTCAGCAGAACAGCTTGTGCGCGATTTGATTTGTAGGTGCCCCATCCCTGGGAACACCCCAGGTCAGGTTGGACGGGGCTCTGAGCAACCTGCTCTGGCTGAAGATGTCCCTGCTCATGGCAGGGTTAGACTAGATGGTCCTTACAGGTCCCTTCCAACCCAAGATTCTATGATTCTTTCATGATTCTATGATGAAATGTTCTTTTTTTTGTCCATGTGGGTTGAGTTTCAGGTAGTCAGAATTTCCAAAACAAATCTGCTAGCATTGTGAGCAAGTGATGCTATGTAAAGTCATCTCTGTAGACTCATGTTCAACTTAGTTGTTCAGTCTGTGTTCTGCTTAACATTGGTTTGAAAACTTTCAATACCTTTCAGTTCCTGCCCCTCTCACCTTTCTCTTGTAATGTTTGTTCACAGATTCCAGCTGCTCAGCAGATGTTGAGTTTTCCTGAGAAAAACAAAGAGAAGCCTACTGATCTGCAGAACTTTGGACTTCGCACAGACATTTACTCAAAAAAGACTTTAGCAAAGGCAAGCATATTGGGATTTTCTTTCCCTTGTGCCTTCTGTTAAGGTTCCTTCCTCAAGTGTCCTTCACAAATTGACAGTGAAACAACTTGTGCTACTCTTACATTCCTGTTTTAGATTTCTTCCATCGCAGCATAGGATGCTAAGATACGCGGTTGTGTAGGATATCCGATTTTATAGAGATAAAGACACATACCTATCCCAAGCTAGTCCATACTGCCAGTCTCCAGACACTGAACTCTTGTTATGTTATTGTATATTTTATCTGAATGGTTCAGAATCAACAAACTGTCCAATAATTCAATATAGAAACTGCAGTCTTTCAACAGAGTCTTTATTCTGTTTTCCAAGTGCGAGCAGGGTTTTCCAGACTGAGAGAACTAGTAAGTTGCTTGATTACAAAAGGTGTCACAAAACCATTGCAGGGAATGTTTTAGCACCATCATTGCAATGTGTTGTATTGGCTGGTTCAGGTTCTGAGATACTGTTGCAGTGGTGTCAGTAATTCCGTAGCCTTTAACTCCTCCTGAGGCCTGATACCTGTGTGTGTACCTGACAGTGCTTGGAGCTATTGCAGGGGTGCTTGGGCTGACATCAGGCTAATTCTGTCTTAATTGGTTTCTGTAAGTACAGTGTTCATTGTCCGAAGAGATCATGAGGTAATTGTTTAAAAAAACAACAACAAAACCAGAACACAAGAAATCGGTGTTTATTTATAAAGCCTGATTCCGTATCACGTTTCATGGAGTGACTTTTTCACTTAATGTGGGGGGGTATAAATATTCACCAAATTAATCTATCTCTTACTGGTTCTAGACTCTGGTTCTGTTTACAAGCATCTATGCCAATGAACTTGAGCAGATCTGTTTGCAGAAATTTATTACCGTTTTTGCTTTATGTGTGACAGTTGCTTTTTTGGCTGTTCATATCAGCCTGTTTGAAAACTGATCAGCTGCTGGATGACTCACTTTGATTAATGTTCTCTGTGCCATAATGATCTGTTTGAAATGCATCTTGAGACAGGATAGATTTCCTTATCTTAAAGACCCTTTTGGTGTGCTCTTGCACAGAGACATCCCATCTAGACAAGGTTCCTTCATAAGTAGGTGCCAAGCAGCTTTTGTCTTTATTTGACATGTGATGGATTAGGGAGCCTAATCACCGAAGGGGAGGTTTTCACCAAAAGTTTTGTAACTTTAAGGATAAATTTCAGGAGTTAACCATGAGGTATAGATTTGGGAGCAGCAACCTTTGGAGCAAGAGATTGCTAAATATGCAGATTATCTTGCTGTAATTACTTAGTCTTTTCAGATGGCTTATCTCATTTGTAAAGATTTTTCATTTTTTAAACTGAGTCACTGCTTTTAGGTGAACTTTTTTTTGGACTAGCATGCACCTTGCACAGTCCAGTCTGTCTGCCTTGGAAGCAGAGGTTTGATGGGGGATAAAGTTATGTTGACATAAACCCTGTTCTGTTGAGAAAGGTGCCCTTTAAGCTGAGAGAATCCCAGGTGTGCCTGAATTGAGTAACACCATCTCCTCAACAGAGAGCAGCCTCCTCCGGCTGTACGGCAGCTGGTGAGGGCGTTAGATATTCCGTTGTGTCCGTTGGCTGCTGCTGTCCTTTGGTGTGAACTGTAGAATGCTTTGTGCAGACTGCTCTATTCTTGGCTTAATTTTACTGGCTGAAGTCAAGCTGACCAGAATTCCATCAGTACTCCTAAGGATTTTTATTATTTAGGAAAATCCGCTTTCCTGTTTGCTGTATGTGCAAAGATAGCTGGGAGCCTGGAGAAAAGGGTGCCAAACCACCTTGCTTTGGCTTGGCATAAAAGAGGAGTTGCAGGCTCTCCTAGACATGTTGGGAAGGTGGGATCTGTAGCTCCAAGCCTCCACAGAGACTGCAGGAATGTACTCCCCTGCATGCCTTTGCTTAGTAAGTAAATCGTGTGAACTGACCCTCTGTACGAGGTAACCAGGGGCTGGTTAGCTGTAGTAGGAAGGCTGTGAAAGGTACATGTTTGAGTGGATTCTTTTCCTTTCCTTCTTAATGTTTTCTTCTGAAACGTTCTGTGCAAAAAAGACCTGTATTTCACTTTTTCCCCCCACCCCGTCTGTTGTAGAGTAAAGGTGCCAGTGCTGGAAGAGAATGGACAGAACAAGAGACATTGCTGCTATTAGAAGTAAGTACATGAGGGCAAAACCAAAGGCTGGGAAACCAAAACGTGCAGGATATTACATGCTCTAAAAACCTACATGTAGGTTAATTTTTTTTCAAGTGGAGTTAGATGACAACTGCATGCTTTTACAGAAACTGGAATAGCAAAGCAGAGTTTGTAGTGGGAAGCAACCTCTTGGGACTTGACTTGTAGCTGGAGGGGGGGGTGAGTATCTGTGTATACGAGGCTGCTGTTTTGTTATGGTTATTGCTTTTAAACTGGTAAAAGGTTACAGCTCTCCCTCTAAACCATATCTCTTATTTGACCATCGTGGCAGTAATGTCTGTATAGTAGAGGGGCTTCATATACTTTAAGGTTCAGTTCTATCTGACTTGTATCTGCAAACCAGAAATAAAATGTTTAAGAATGTTTGCATAAACTCAAGAACAGATCTTGCAGTGCAGAGAGGTCTTCTCATTAAACACCAGTTACTGACAGTATGAAATAAAAGTCCTTCAAATACTGGTTTACCTGCCACTAAGATAAATACTGATAATCTTTACAGGTTCCTGGCTATGCCATAGCACATAAGGGAAACGGAAAATTTTTGAAGGTTAAGTTGTTAAGAAACAATTGAGGCTGTTTCCTGGCTCCTGCCACTAAGAAGGGAAGCTCTTTATTTGGCACCTCTTTAATCCCATACGTACACTCATTCCTTTTGCCCCATAGCTGCACTTGACATATTCTTTAAGCTTTTTCCAGAAGTCTACAAGAAATGTATGAGGTGACTCAAATCACATTGTTACTGTAAAAATGAGGTCAAAGAACTGTTAGCACACTAGAATTCGGTCTTTGTCCCCAGATTGCTTAATTTGATGCTCTTGAACCACATGGTAATTGTCAGGTCTCTTGGAATTCCAGTCTAGGGTGAAAACCATCATGTGAGGTGCACTGCAGAAGTATGTTCTGGTCTTTCACGCTGACATCAGGGCAGCATTGTTTTTCATAGTGCTTTGTAAGAAGAAGAATCTCGGTGGCCTGAAATAATTTATGTGCTGCCACTTCCTATAAAGAAATTACCATCTACCTAGCTTTCTTTTACAGGGACATTTTCTTAACGTAGCACAGTTGGGAGGTTGATTCATCCCCCCTCCACCTTTTATGTAATTCAGGCTTCTGGTATAAGAATTCCAGTTTTGGGGGTTTTTGGGTTTGTGTGTTTTTACTTGCAGAGAGAGCTTAAAGCAGGCTGCAATTGCGTGATTGTTCTGGCTTTTTTGTCTTTACATGTGTCAGTAAACCCATTGAAAAGTTAATTTCATAAGGAGAAGCATGGACAATGGATCTTGACAGTGCTTGATGGTGCTGAACAATACTCAGCTTCTGTGTGTGGCTTCTTTTCTCTGAGCTAGCCAAAGTGCCTCATCAGCAGCATGCTTTGATTCAGCCTTCACTGATATGGAAGTGTGTTCATCAAGTAGCTAAAATAGACGTTATTTTTTTAATGTTAGGTTGGTACATACTGTTTAGCTGATACTTTTCTGTTGGCATGTGGAAAAATTTTGCTTGTAGGGTGAAAAGAGCAAAGATGTCTTTCATATTGTATGAACAAACAAGACGAATATCTTGATACGCTAGCTTCTTTGCTTACTAGTATTAATATTTAAAATTCATTCTTTCATATGTTTGTAGCTTATGGTCTTACATAGCAAGTAGTAGCCTAATGAAATAATCCAGATGACACATTCTTCTCTGTTTTAAAAAAGACAAACAAAAAAACCCCTAAGTCTTGAGATTACAATTTTATTTAATGTGAGTTTAAATTAATAATGTATTTCTTCTTTGTGGATTTAACCTATGAATAAATCAGTGAAGAGTATATCAGTTCAAGCATAAATAATTTGGCTGTAACAAGCCAGCTCAGTCCAATTAAATCCTCGGGGTAGCTTTGGGCAAATATATATGCAGTGAAGTTCCAAAGAATAATCTTATCTAAAATAATTATTGTCCTTAAGCCTGTTGACTGAACGAATTGGGGGGAGGAAATACTGTTTCCCTCCCAGAATCATCTTCTCCTCCGCAGTGCTTCTCCGTATCTCCACGGAGATTCTTGCATCAAGTGCATTCTCGGCTTTTTATAGTAAGGACAATTATTGTGAGAGCTAGTGTGTCTAGCAGGAAAATAACAAGCAATGAAGGAGAATGAGCAAAAAAACCCTGTGTGCCATGAAAAGCAGAGCTGATCTAATATGCTAGTGTGATTAAAAATGGATAGACAGTGACACATGACTCGCAGCACAGAGATGAAATTAGGAAAAGTGAAATGAAGGTTGAATGTTGAATAAATATTTCCCCCCGAGTGTGACCTAGTGAACTAAGCAGTTTCTCATTTCTTTAAACACTTGGGCAAGATCAGACAGAGGTCAGGAGAACAGTTTGTAAGCAGTTAGGGAGCAGGGAACCAGTGGCCTTCTGAAGATACGTTGGGGGTTTTTCCCTCCTCCTCGCGCAGCTGAAGCAGTGAGACCTCGCTGTGAGAGAGACAAGCTTAAAATTTCAGCCAGCTAAAGCTTAAATGGCTTTCAGATCACGGGCAAAAAAGCTCCGCCTGCTGCAGGCAACTTGATCTCTTTTTTTCTCTGATTTTTCAGAGATCTTTAACACCCTTGGCTTTAACTCATCTGTCCTTTTAGTTAGTCTGCTTCCACATCTTTGAAAAGATGCTGAGTTTGCATTTTTCCCCAGCTGACCTTAAACACCCATGACATGCCCAAGGGTCCTGTTCAGGTAGATTACTTTGTCTTTAAATTATTGTTGTAGCTTATGTTTTAGCTGCAAAACCACTAAAATGCTTTTCCTCCAGACTGGTGAAGTCAGAACTGCTGTGAAGAAACAGTATGTTTGGAAACTCCTGGATTTTTTTTTTTTATATTTATTGTTGATAAAGACTGGTTTATGTCTAGTCCTTCAGGCGAATGTCTTCTGAATGCACAACCATCATATATATAGTAACCAGAAATATCTCTTATATATATATAGTAACTGGAAATGTCCCTTTCCACGTTGGGGAACTCAACACATGAGGCTACTGGCTCAGTTTCTGACTTCTATGTGTCACTAGTAACTGCTGAACCCCTCCGCATGTTAACTTTGTGTACTTGTGTGTACTACTCAGACCTGTTGGATATGTCCTCATCATGATGTCTGCAGATACAGTCCAGCTCTCAATTCTGCCTTTATGCTGTGAAGGGTTGTGCGTGTGGAAAGTGAAGTCGGTCTTGTGTGTTACCCTGAAGGCTGAGATTTCTGGTAATTCTCAGCCTTGTGGGAAAGATTTCAACTATGGAAAAGCCATTAACTTAATTTGTTCTTGACATTGACACTTAAATGGGCATATTGCTTATTTTGGAAACTCTGTTGTCATGAGTAGTTAGGGAGGAGGATGATGTGTTTGCCTTCTGAAACACATTGCACCTGCAAAATAGCTGCCTTGAAGTCCAAGGCAGCCCGCCTGATGGCTGCAAGTCGGTAAGGACATGTCATCGGGGTCCTCCGAGCAGCCTGATGATACCCACTTCAAACTCTGCGCGTCCCCTTCCCACGGTTACTGCTAGAAAGCCTGCTCGCTTGCTGTGGAAGCAGTGCAGAGCTAGTTACCTTTAGTTTTGTTGTAGAGTAAGTACAGTGTAAGTAAAAAGCGGCTTGACTTTTTGGGCAAATATATTAAACTTAAAAATGAAAATGGGATCTGCAACTCCAACAGGAAAGTGTTTACCACCCTTGCTTAGGCCTCTGGTATTAAATATTTTCAGACTTCTGTTACGCTTGTGAGTTGCAGATCCCATTTTCATTTTTAAGTTTTACATTTTGTCTAGCTCTCAAGTGGTTTTTTATTTTTTTCTAGGTGACTGGACAATGAATCATTTCAGTAATATGAAAGTTAACAATTCAGGATACTTCAACACTTATTTTATGCTATCCAAATGCTTAAATAAAACAGTTTTCAGGAAAAAAACCACACTTGTTAAGGGATTATTCTATTAGGCTGCCACTCGGGGGTTTACAGTACTAATTTATTAGTTTTTAAAAAACTAGTGCAGGGACTTCAGTAGCTCATTGTTATGAAATTGTGTTTTATTTTTCTTAAGTAACTTTAAAAGCCACTGAAATTCTGAATTACAAAATCTTTGATTTAATCTGGAAGTTCTTATTTTATCAAGTGGCTTATCTATATAATGATTTGTTAACCAGAATGCATAAAAAAAATCAGACTCATTAACAGTTGCTAGAGAACGGATCTCTTCTGCCTTCATGATGTAGAATATTTTCCTCTTTTTTTTTTTTTTCCCCTGGTATAGTGCTTTGATGCTCTTTCATTTTCGTCACATCTGTTGGATGTAAAAACTGGGCTTCACCATCATAGCTAGTGTGAAATAAAGACTGTTCCTGCCCCAAAGAGCTTAGTGTGTTTAAGACATAAATGAGAGAACACCGGAGTGTCCTCAGGGTGGGTAGTTATGGGAATTAAAAGAATTGGTGAGACTTGGTAGGGTAAGCAGACTTACTTCTCTGTAAAGCTTTTAATGTGAAAGCAAAATGGGGAAACAGTAACTATGCAAATATGATGAGTAAATCCAAAATCTTCTGACAATTCTTTTGATAAAGTAACAGCATAAAACTCATGTGATGATCCCTGCAGCTTAAATTTAACTAATGTCCCAGTGAGATGTTCATATTTCTTCTGCAGAATAATTTTACTACCAGGAAAAACCACAATTTTAAATAGCTGCCTGATCCAGATTTATTGTTCTGTTACCAAAATAACTAGTATTGAAAAATCTTTTTGTATAAAGTAGGGTTTTTTCCCCCCTGAGTAGTCAATGCATAGACAATTTTTGTCTTTTGCAGGCTCTGGAGATGTACAAAGATGACTGGAACAAGGTCTCAGAGCACGTTGGGAGCCGTACCCAAGATGAGTGCATTCTCCATTTCCTGAGACTCCCGATCGAAGACCCCTATTTGGAGAACTCTGATGCATCTCTGGGCCCGCTGGCATACCAGCCTGTACCTTTCAGCCAGTCTGGCAATCCGGTGATGAGTACTGTTGCTTTTCTGGCATCGGTGGTGGATCCCCGGGTGGCATCAGCCGCAGCAAAGGCTGCCTTAGGTATGAGTTTGCCCCAGCAAATTTTTTCGCCTTGTCTCCATAACTTTGCTCTCTTAGTCAATTTTAAGAGCAGACTATTTCTAGAGTTTCTTAAGGATGAGTAGAAAGTTGTAAAAAGAAATGTGCATGTATGCGGAAAATGGGTCTACTGGTAACAGTTTTGTGTTCTGTTACTGACACTGACAATTTACAGGCCAGTTAGAACAGCTCTTAAAGGCCACTGAATGTCTAAAGGTGGCTTGCGTTGCCCATTGGTGCTCGTTGACTACAGGTAGTGTTTGCAAGCACCACCTAGTAGTTGGTGTTACTGTGACCACTGTCACTAGTTTAGCTACGGGTAGATGCACAATGCTAAACTTCCAGTTCTCCTGTTCTACTTGTGTGAAATCACTTTATTTCACACAGTTACATGAGTCCTTTAAGAAACGTGATGAAATGGTTCCTTTCACTTTTTTCCTTATTTTTCCACATAAAAGACAATTTTATATAATTGTCTTTCCTACCATATTTCAGAGAGAAAATTAACTACCTGATGTGAAAAGAAGGAACTTGCATATTTGAGAATTCCCTTTGTCACGAGGTTTACCTGCACATTGATGGAAGAAAATCGTAACTTTTAATTTGCCATAAAACCCTCATAATGTAACGTTTTCTGTGTCATTTCTAACAGAGGAATTTTCTCGAGTCAGAGAGGAGGTACCACTGGAGCTTGTTGAGGCTCATGTAAAGAAAGTACAGGAAGCAGCAAGAGCCTCTGGGAAGGTCGATCCAACATATGGACTAGAGAGCAGCTGCATTGCTGGGACGGGTCCAGATGAACCAGAGAAAATCGGTAGGCTGTCCATCAAAATGCAGAAATTTCTGCAGATGAGGTTCCTTAAGCATTTTCTTCTGACTCATAATAAACCATAAGTTCGCCTCCAATATGAGATGGGAATCGTGGGTAAGGAGAGTGTCCCCGGTCATTCCACTTCTACTTGTTGCAGGATTGTTAACTCTTGATGCTGAATTAATGAACTTAGGACCACCTGTAGTTTTAGCCATTTGTTTTCTTACTCTGACTGAATAGAAATGCTGCTGTTTCTTGGGATGCATAGAGTTGAGTGAGTAAAAATACCAGAGCAGGACATTTCATGTCAATGCTGTGGGTATTAAGAGTAGTTAGAGGATGCTGCCTTTCTAGCATTATAGTTATTATAAAGCAAACTGGGAGTTATTGGCTCTTTGTGCTGCAGCTGAATCTATAAAGTTATAGCACACCTTTTGGTAACCAGTTTTAATGTAAGTCGTGTACTCTGAGTACATTGCTGACAGTGGTGGTAGCAGAAGAGGAACTTTTTATTAAATGATGGACAGGTACACAATAATGCCGCAGTTCTTGGCTCTGGTGGTTGTACGTTACACTGCCATACTAACAAGCTCTCCTTTTAGAGCTCGGTGCCAGTTCAGCTGCTCTCTGTAGTATTCAGCAGGTACTCTGAGATAGTCTGTTATCTGAAACTTTGACAGGTGCAGATTTTTTATTCATTACTATGGAGAGTAAAAGCTTATCTTGTAACTCCCTATAAAGTGAAACCACTTTGCATAACCCTTTCTGTTTAACTCTTTATTTTGGTTTTCCCACCTCGGTAAAATGGAGACACACAGTTTGCTACATACCTACTGACTTTCTCAAAGGCTTTCACCTCTTTAGTTTGGTACAGGTCTACCAACTTGTCTGTAGATCTTTATTTTTCGCTCTAGCATTGTTGGCTGCTGCTTTGTTCAGCTTATCGCAAATCATTTTAGTGAGTTTAGTGACTAGATATTTAAAGGTATGTATAGCTTTGGGTAAAGCTGAACTGAAAGTAATCTGGATTGACTGGAAGGTTTGATTTGGGCTGTGCTTGTGCATCTCATAGTTGGCCTGCTGTCACCCCATCTAGAGACATGAGCAAGGCACCAGATTGTGTGATGGGATCGTAAGGGACCTGTGTGTACTCCTGCTGTTCAGTTATCGACTGCTAGTCATAAAAGTGAAGATGCACGTCTACTATTTATGGTACTTAATGTCCATTGTAAAGCTACAGTTTTAAATCAGATTTATAAGTACCACCTAACTCATGAAGATATTTTTAAAATGGACAAGAAATTAACAGACCCCTCAATCCTTCTGCCACATTTTTCAGTTCTAGGCTCAGTGGGATAGACTTGATGTGGGCAGCTCAGTGCTTTGGGAAGATGTGGAGTATGTGCTGGAAGGGGAATGCTATCATCTGGAATATCTGCTTCTCCCTGTTCTGCAGGGCTCTGTTATGCAAAACTGACAGCAAGCGTTGAAGCGCTGTTGAAAGGGCAAAGCTTTCAGGTTTATTTTCAAGTCTGCTATTAAACAAATCTAGGTGTTATTCCATCGGGGACTAAGTTTAATTTGATAGTTCTTTTAAAATAAACTCAGCTTAAGTTAAATTTTTCTTCCTGGGGTTTTGGTTTCGCTTTTCCATATTCTCCAAGTACAGGTGATACTGTAGTATGTTAAGGACCTCTACAACATACATGCTACTTTGAGTCTTAATTCTTAATCCTGCCGCATGACCGTGGAAGTTTACCACTGCTAGGCTGCAGGTTAGCCCTTTTTCTAGGAGAATTTGTGCACAAGTTGCAAATAGAGATTTGGAAATGCTTGTCATTTAATACAGGGAGTTGGAGAGCAGATGACCATAACATGATTATTTCTCAATGAGCTGCGTGGTGAGTTCTAGAAGTAATACTGTCCTGTTATAGTTAATGCGATTTGTATTGGGCTGTGACTAATGGAATAAATTAGGACAACAGCAGATGGTTCTCCCTGGGGGAGCTGCTCAGCAAGAGTGAACTAGGTCACTCAACAATCTGTGGTGTCTTCCACCTCCAAAACAGCTTTGTGCTGGGGGACATGGGGGAATCCATCGCTTGCACTTGCAGAGGTGTGCTTAATGCGTTGAAGTATAGTGGTGTGGTATGCATCTGCTGAAATGGAGCTGTTTTTGCATACCTAGACCTGAATTTTTATATTTAAATGACACTATGGAGAACTGAAAATACCTACTTAGGGTTCCATACTATAATTAAAGTTCATCAGTTGTTGTATTTTAGAAATAAAATTATATCACAGCTCTGTAATAATTTAAAAGCTCTTCAGATTGGTGAATTACAGGCAATATGGGATGCAAAAGGGGAAAATATGACTGGAACAGATTGCAGGAGCTTACGTTAATATCCAAGAATCTCCTCTTAAGTCTTCTATTGTTAGTTTCTCTGAAAGCTGATGGTGGTTCCTTTTAGATTGGTACAGTAAGGCTTCAGTAGAGTTCCGAGGAGACTCAAGTGGTTCAGATACTGTGGTGTGAGCATGGTAGACGCTTTTGCTTTCCAGGATAGCACCCCGCTGTAGGTTACATAGTATGATAGATGAAGATGCTCTGCTTCTGCTTTCATAAAAATGAATTGAAGAGAGCAAAACAAGGGATCCTAGCTCTTTAGGCTAGTGATTAAGCTTCAGAGAGGGAAATAATCAGTACATCTGTGGTACGTAGTTTCAATTAAGTCTTCACTGAGTATGTGTGCTTTCTTAATGGCTTTCCAGAGGTGATTAACTACATTGGCTGCATATACGTGCACTGAATGAGGCACCAGGCAGTCTCTGAAGTGCCAGTGTTGGAGACAGTTACTTCTACATTTTAGGTCTTATTCTAACAAGTATTTCACTGAAAGTAATTCCACTGACAAGTGTGTGGATGCTTCAAGCTGTAGCTCACCTGTGACAGTAAACTCTGAGGGAATGGTGGTCTGATTTATTGTCTCTGCTACAACTGTAAGTGACTTAAATGGATGATTAAATTTAACATTTTATGGATGATTTTGTATCGTACTCAAATACACATACTAGGAAACCACGTACAAGTATACATACACGGGAGAAGTTATTTTGCTTCACTTTTGGCAGGAAGATTTCTCTTGTGGTCTCCAGGGTGTGCTTTGACCCTGAAATAATGCAAGCACTGCTAAAATGAACAGACTCAGAGTACTTCATTCACTTTGCCTGTGTCCATGTGCCGGTGAGCTAGTTCTGCACTGCTGGAGGATTGAGACCATCAATCCTCTTGTGATGGACTCAGGCAACTTGCACGAAAGCTGCCGCAGCTTTCTGTGAACTCTCCACCCTTCTCCATGGAAGCCCACTTGGTTATCGTGCTGTACACCTGCAAGCTGCATGAAGTAGGAATGGAGGAAGCTCTGGTGGCTGTGAAGTCCTGACTTACTGTGGAAAATGTAAATTGTGGTCGAGATAATAGCCCAATAATTATATTCAGACCCAGGATTTTTCCGTAGCTATATTTCCTCACAATAAAATATTAATATTCAAGCCTGACTTTTGACAGGTGATGTGTGTTGCCTTAGTGAAAACAAAGGAGACTATGATGTCTTGAGGGCATCTTTAAACTATTTGCTGAGCTGAAACTCACACTAGGGATTCTGTGCATTTATGTGTGGGGTTTTGCATATTGTTCTTCTGATGACAATGAAGGTTATGTACCTGCTTATGCTGCAAGTGTCTGTTTGCTGGTAATGCAGTAAATTCTTACCATGGAAACATTTTATAGTTTTCCTTCTTGCCCTAAAGTCAATTTAACTTCTCTGTAAAGTCCCCAGGCTTCATCAGAAGTCACTTATAAGTTCTTCACGTATTAGAAAACAGGATTCCATGTGCCTGAAGAAAATAGGCAGAAGGAACAAGCTTCCGCAGGGACAGAAAATAGTTGCTGCTTTGGGTTTGAAGAGGGGCATGGAGAGGCGATGTTTCCTGGTTTACATGTGGTTTCTCCCTCTTGAAAGACGTCTGAGGCATCTCACAACCATCTGCCTCTTGCTGATTTAAGAAATGTCATTAATTTGATTCCCCCCCCCGCCCCCGCTCCTGCAAGGTGTAATACCAAATGTGCTGAAGAGGGTTAAAGAGCATTGTTGGTGCTATGTAAAAGGGATTGCAGGGTCTTTCTCATTAAAGTTAAGTCTTCCCCTTTTGTAATAGGGACATGTATCTCCAACTAATCAATTCCTGTTTGCATTGTCAGTTATGTATTCTCATTAACCTCGTTAGATGGTACAGGAAAATCAGTAAGGTTGAGTTTGTAGCCAACTGAAAGGCAGGAGTCATTTCTCTCATTCTCATGCAGAGTGTCAGAAATGTTTCGGGGTTTGTCTGATCCTTTCATATTTGAATTAGAGATTAATTTTTATGGGTTGCTTAATTGTTTTGAGGTACTTTTAATAGCCTGTAATTTAAAAGCAAAAATCTGCTTCAACCCAGGTAAACTTATTTAACTCTCAAACTAATAACTGATAGCTTTAATTTTCTTTTTCCTTATATATGTAGAATTTCAGTGTGGTCCTCTCAATGTACACAAGTGCAGAATGGCTTATGCCAGGGGAACTGCAGAGACATAGCGCTGTCACTGCAAATAAGGGCTTAGTAGCTAATACAGGAAAACAGTTTTCAAAAACCATTGACTACCACCTGCCTAAAGTTGTCATCCTAATTTTAAAATAACATTTATTATTACAGCCAGGACTATAAGACCTAAGTTAAATCAGGATGTTTGCAATAATCTCACTGTCACACATATATCCTTCTGACTTTCTTTGTAGCTGAATATGTCCCTTGTGTAATATAAAAGAACACTTGGTTTTGGAAAGTCTGTCAAATGTATTACGATCCAAGGGCAGTTTTCCTTACTGTGAGATGCTCTGTTGTGCGTTTTTCTTTGAGATATTTTTCTCTAAAGTGTGGGTGGGAAGGAGTTTGTCTTTCTGGGGTATCCTGTTTACGTTGGAACTTCCTCCACAGCAGTAGTCACTTAACAACTCTTAACCATGGTCTACAGATTGGTCTACAAATTTGCGCAGAGAAGTTGTGGATGCCCCATCATTGGAAGAGTTCAAAGTCATGTTGGACGGGGCTTTTAGCAACCTGAGCTATGGAAGAGGTCCCTGCTCATGGCAGGGGGGGGTTGGACAGGATGATCGTTAAAGGTTCCTTCTAACCCAAACCATTCTATGGTTCTATGAAATAAAAAAGGAATATTTAATAAAACTTGGCCCAATACTTGCGGAGAATTAGTAGCAAACACTTAGAATCTATGGTAGTGCTTGACATGTAGCACATTGTAAACCTACACCAACTCATCCTGCGCTCGTGTCTTCAAATGCCACGTGTTGCTGGACGCTGCTTTTCTGAAGAACTTTACCTTGAGATGGGAAACCTCGAAATGCACTGTAATCAGAAAACAAAACCCACCACATTCGAAATTGAGTTTAAAGTAGAAAGGCAGTTCAGTCTTACCTGAAAGATGCAAGAATGAACTGACTTTTTGAGTAGAGCAGAAAAGTGTGTGTCTTACAGGACTTTATTATATGGTGTAAGTAGGGGCAGCTTACATGATAATTGCCTTACAGCTTTCTCGGTGTGATTCAGAATCTAGCAAGGAGTATTGCCACCTGCTAAGCTTAGCATTCCTGAGCAAATCATGTGCAACTGTGCGACAAGAACCTTCTAGGGATTTTTTTCCCCTCCCTCAGAGTATAAATGCAAAGCTGCAGGTTTTTGTGGGAGCTCCTTTAGACTGACTAGAAGCCTGCAACAGATGAGGTAGTAGCCTGGTGGTCAAGATGCTTGCTGCTGATGTGGGATGCAGAGACTTGAGTAGCTGCTCAGCCTAATTCTAGGCTGGAGAACTTGAGCTCCAGGTTCTTACCTTCCAGAAGAGTGAAGAAATTATCAAGTCATTACCTTTTAAGAGACAGAAGCCTTCCCATTTTGACTTAAAGTTGTCCACAGACTAGAGCTTTTCTGGCCTGTTTTACTCTGACTTGTAGTTTTTGTAGGAAGCAGAACTTCAGAATTGTTCAACTTCTCCCTGTGGTTAAGTTTTGGGTTGCTTTATACAAAATTATAGACTTTTTTTCTTTCAATTATGCTGTATCCCAGTACTAGGAATCTTGAAGTTCTTAGTATTTGGGTTAAGCCATGCCAGAATGAAAACTTGTGTATTCCTATGCAATATTTTCCTAGTTTGAACTCATGATCTTCCATCCTACCAGCCCAACCGCACTTGGAGTGTTCTGCACTTTGTCTCTGTGGGTTTTTGCTAAAGGAGAGCATAAAGCTTTCTTTGTAAAGCTTTCTCTTTCATTTACTAGGAGGGATGATGCTTTTAAGCCCCATTTGGACCTCTGCTTCTAGGCTTGAAATAGCTGTCTGACAAAATCTACTCTAGATTTTCCTTGTGACATTATTAGGTCACTAAATCCTAACTCTGAGATAAAACTTCTGAGGAGCTATGTCCCCAGTCTCTATAAATTGAATTATGGTGGCAGATACTTCAGATAAATAGGTTTATCATCTTAAAATAAGCCAAGAAGAAAACCATTATCTTTCAGTCAGATTTCTTGGTATGTTTTTCTTATATATGGAAGGGACTTCTTTAAAAACTTCCATAGAGAGCTATTGCTATTAAAGCAAACCGTTTTATGCATCTCTCTTGCTTCAGTGTAGCACATGGGAATAAAATGAGGATTACTGAAAATGAACACCCAACACCAGCTAATGTCTTCAGAAGCTTAGAGATGGATCAGGGCTTTTCACCAACAGTTTTATATTGGGATGGCAGCATGTGTTGGAGCCCATGGTCTAAATAAGCTGCTCCTTGAATGCCCCTGCACATGAAATTGTACTACAGTTTCTTTTCTTGCAGGTCTGAGATCCTGGTTTGTGATTGTGCTGACACTCTTCCCTCTTGTCTGCTCTTGCAGAACAGCTGGGTGCTGCAAATAGATGGGGATTTCCTGGGCTTTTAAACAACCCGTATACAAAATATCAGGAAGGTAGTGCATTATTTAGACACCTTCATGGTATTCTCCATCAGTATGCCTCCTGTTATCCTATTATCTCAGAGGACTGCTATCATTAGGAGGAATATTTTAAGTGCCCTGTAAAGGAATAACTTAATGAACCAAGGGTTAGCACCAAGAGATGTGTACTAAGCACAAGAAGATATTAACTGCTGTTAAAACACTCACTTCTGAGGTGCATGCATCCAGCACATGGTAACACATGATGCTTTTTTAATTATTTTTTTTCCTTCCTCATTTTGGTCTCGCTTGTATACCAGTTATGCTGTTATCTAGTCTTCTTTCGTAGCTGCCGAGGTTAGATGGGATGATAACTGGTCAGCTGCTACTGAAAAAGCAATCTGTAATGCAAGGGTGCCCGGCTCTGTTTTGGTAGAACTCTTCAGATCTCTCTGTAATAGCTATTTGAATGCCAAACAGACAGTAAATAAGGGGTTACAAGCTTGAAGAGCTCAGTCTAGTCAGCCAAAAAAACAAACAAAATGAGAAATAGCAGGAAGCATGTACCTGTGTATTGAAGTGCAGGTTTTTTTCATGCCTGGTGGTAGGGCACCTGGCAAAGTTGTTCTGGGTTCCAAATGTGAAGGTGTAAAGAGGTGGCGGGCGCTGTCCTGACCCACACATCCACGACGGTGAAAGAACCCCCAAGTGTCCAGACGGTTCATGTTATATACTTTCAGCTTCTCATGAAGATGGAGACTTCTGAGCAATTCAGAACCGGAGGCTGCAGCAGCGTAGGTGAGCTGCCTCTGCTCTCTGTCGAGGTCGTCTCCTGAGCACCTGCTTGGCACGCTTCTTTTTCCATAAGGAAGTACTTCATGACTCCAGTATGGGAGCCTTGGCTTGGAGCCAGTCTTGGCAGAGGCTGTCTCGTGTGTATCCTCTGAAGATTCAGGGCACGGTGTAAGGCTGAAGCTCCATCTCCTGGAGAAGTCCAGGAAACTGTTACTGCCTAGAGAACCCAACCGGTGGTTTTATGGAGAGCATCTTCCAACATCTGTCAGCAATACCTGAAGCCACTGGAGAGAAGTAAGCATTGACCTAGTACTGTTCTCCAGCACTGGAGGTGTGACTCCAGCTCTTGACTTTTCACAGCATCCTGGAAAGCGTGCTATTCAACCAGCTGGGAGTTGGGCAGGCTGTCCTGTGACAGCACTGTCAGGAGATGTGGTCATTCAGCCTCAGTTCTGTTTCTCAGTGGTTTGGATGGCTATATTTTGGCTGCAGAGGGAACTTGGAGCTTTCAGTTGGTAATTGATGTCCTTGCTTCAGCTGGTAATTTTATGTTCTTTTCTTGCTTTATATCTAACCAACAACCAGCTCTTGTGCTCAAAAGTGATTCATATCTTCTTTAGCACCTAACTGGGCAGCTGCGGTTGCGCTCTTGAGGAGCTGCAATACAGCTTGCCATATAGCGTTTTTTCAGTGAGAAGGCAAAGAAAGTGTTAGGGTTTCTTGGATCATTTCATTGATCCACTCTTCAGTGCAAACCCACAAGTATTGGTATAATTACAGCTGAGGAAGAAGCAAGAGAACAAACGGTCAGGGTCTGAGTGAGAGCACTGTCCAGGAACATCTACCATAGGACTACACCTTTTGGGCCAGTTTCTTTGATTTAAGCTTCATTGTTCAGTTCAGACTCAACGTTTGTTTTGAATGTATTTCTGAGGACTTGGATACATATCAGAGTGCCTTTGGGAGAAATGTGTTTGGAAGAACAGCACAAAGAGCCATACGGGACTGGCGAACCACTTGGTCATCGTGTTTATGCAGAGCAGCAGGTACAAAGGTTGTGAAATGAGGTTTCACATCAAACCAGTGTGGAGGATAACTGCCCGCTGCCTTGAACTCCGGTGGTTTCTGGGGCCAGAAATAACAAGAGATCCTTGGTGTTTAACAACAGTGTTAGTGCTTTAAAAAATCTGCTACTGCTTAGTGTTACTCTGGTGTTGAATAATTATTTTGAAGTCTGCTTTAGAGAATTCTGGTATTTGCACCACCTGCAAAATGGAATTTAAATCTTCAGTTGACCTGCAGTGCATGACAATGCCTCTGGATAGACCTTTTGTCGAAAGCAGCTCAGGGGATCTTGTGCTAAGGAGGAATTACGAGTCTGGCAGCGCTGTAATTGAGGTTAATCACGTAACTGACAACCATCTACAGAATCAAACTGGATGTATTGGGAAAAACATTTTATAATACTGTGACTTACCAATGGGAATTACTGTATGACTTGAATACTGCAGAACTGTGCATTGAACTGTCCTCTGTGTAGCTAAAACTGATAGATTGGGTGGTTTCTCTCTGCATGGGTAAACTGGGTGTTTCAGCAGAGCATGGATAACTTAATATTTTGTCCTGCTTGTTGGACTGAAAAGAAAAACCAGTTAAATTTAAAATCGCAAGTAAACTTGATTTTTAAACTAAAATTAGTGTAATAAGCTTTTAGTCTTGCAGGAGTTTAGTGTTGTGGCTTTCTTTAAACCCGTGTCAGTGGAGAACAGAAAATTTTAGTTAACCCTGAAATAAATGTTGAGTATGATAAATTGACATTATGGCAATTCTAAATACTTCACTTATTTGTTTTCTCAGATGGAGCTGAAGAAGAAAAAATGGAAACTGAGACAGATGGGCAGCAGTCTGAGAAGGTAAGCTTAGCTCAGTACACTCGTTCTGAAAACATAGTTCTGACACTTATGAACCTGAATTACTATGTTCTAAAATGCCTGATAAGAAAAGTGGACGGTAGTGTGGCGGTCAGCGTGTGCATCCATAGGGAACAGTTTTCATTCTCCACAGTGCTTCATTTTGTTATGAGTGATTTAATCTCAAACCATACAGAGACATTTCGTTTGCTGGGCAAAGAGAATGAGGTATCTCTGTTTCCTAGTGCTGAGGAAAAAAGGTTGGGACTGGGAGGAAATGTAAACTGGGTGATACCAAATGAATTAGAGGCTTAAGCAGCAGAAGGGCATTGGTGTGTTATGGTTCGTGACTGGTCACGGTCTAAAGCAAGCATCACTTTGAAGTCTTGCCGTAGAAATTGCCTTCCCAAAGTTGAACACAGCTTTCAGTTCTGACAAGATGAGAGAGGTCAGGGCTTTCCGAGAAATGGGTGAGTTGGCTTACTCGCAGTATTTGGCAGCCATTTGTGAGTGGGGTGTGTGGCGCTGAACAGACAACCTGAATGAAGCTATTGCACCAGCTGCGTCGCAGCTCTCCAGCGACAATGCGAGTTACATATATATATTCGGTCTGCATGATCACATGTGGCTTGGCAGATGTGGGAGGTTGACATCTGGCTGACTAAAGGAAGGTGGCCATAGCTGAGCTGGTCAATCAAAGTCCTCTTTGGAAGAAGTCTAGGTTAAGTCTTAGTTATAGGTGTGTGTATTGTATTCTTTTGATGCTAGGTATGATGCATCCTGCTCATAAAGATCAGGTATTTATAAATTAATTTTTCGACCTGTTGATAACGCCTACAAGAATGCAGTTGTTTGGGGCTTTTTCATATCCCCGTGCCTGCACACACAATACCTCTTTTCAGATAGTCTACAATAATGGCACTGGCTCTGATTGTTTCAGAACTGAACTAGAATTAAACTAATATCCTGGAATTAGAACATCACCTTGCTAAATAAATGGTGGTGGGCACTTACTGAGTCTGCAGCAACAGGCGGTATTTCTGTGTTGCCTGCTTCGTCAAATGAATGCGATACAACTAACGTAATGGTTGCTGTGTGTAGACTTGATGTTAGGTCTTGCTCTGTTTTCAGATGGTTGTTTTTGCTGCCTTCCTGATATATCTACCTAAGCATACCTGACTATTTAAGTGTAGAAGACTTCTTGGTCAGCACTTGAAAAGATGCATTGTTCTGTAGAGCAGAATAAATCAGAAATGTATAGGTCAATTTGGAGTATTTCCAAGGTGAATATGATACTTCCAGTCTTAAGCATGAAGATGCTGCTATTTCTTTAATACTGTGTTAAGGCACCTAGATTTTAACCAGAAATATTTATATTCCGTTTTGCAAACATTGCTCTCTTCCACCAATTCCTGGACAGAAGCACCCTCCTGTAATGCGTAATTCAGTTGTAGCATTTATTGCCACAGGATGCTCTTGTGACCATGAGTTCTGCAGAATTTGGAGCTGTGTGGAGAGGTGGATACTGTATAAATTGTTAACATGACAGACACTGGAAAGGGTGTAAAACTTATGCACAAACTACTGGAATAAATGGGGGTAGCATGGGGGGCAGAACATGTTCTTCTCTGTCACCTTAGTTTAGGATTTCTTGTACCTTCTGATGAACCCAGGTTGGCCTGGGTTACTGAGTTTCATAGACTTTGTCCAGTATAGCTTCTTCAGATTTCAGTTACGATTGTCAAAATGGGCTTACGTAGCAGTGAACCTGTAAAATCTAATCTTTTCCTTTCTGACAGTGAATTAATTTGAAAGCTATAAACGAAGTTAACAGTGAATGTCTTCTATAGCTCTTGTTCATCAATCTTTCATCCCATTTAGGTTGAAAACAAAGCAGAGAGTGAAATTGAGGAAAGCGATAAAGTACAAGAGGGAGAAAATGAGAGAAATCCAGAAAAAGAGCAAGATAGTGAAGTGGCTGCAGACACCAAGCCAGGTAATGGTTCCCAGCTGTTCCTCAAGCTGTGTTAGCTTTAATAGTCTTCCTCTGAAGTGGTTGGAATAGACTATAAACTCAACTGTGGCAGAAATATTTCCTCTTGCACATCAGGCTGCTTCATGGTTCAGTAGTAAATATTCTAGTTTAATTTCACTGCAAAGCTTAGGCACTGAATTCTTTCTTGAACTCATTTTAGACCTCAGAAAGCTCAGCTGTCATTGTGTAGTGACTGGTGAAGAAATTGCAGTAGCAAAGTGCATGTAGGTCATATAAACTATTTTCTTTTGCCTGAATTGCACACCATTTGATGATTTTTGATGCAAAGAAATGGGACTGCTTACTTCTACCCTTATAAGTTAATATGTTAGCTCAGTTTCCCTGTGAAGTGATGCAGACCCTTTATTTTGACAGGCTAAGGAGTACTGGGTTTTTTTCTACATAAGAGATTGTTATTTTTATTTATTTTTGACACATTCCCCTTGTATCACCTGGATATATTGTGGGGTTTTTTTCCTGGAACTTACATTTAGTGTTTTGGCACCGGGTAAAGCATGTTTGAACTTACATACAAGAGTAGATATAATAATGGAGCTGATTGGGAAATGCGGCTGAAATTGTTCTGATGAGAGTGAGCTGATGGTAGAAGATGAATTGACAGGATGGAAACTAAAAGCATTTAAAGTTGCCCTATTTGTTGGATCAGATCCTCTTAGACCAGAATTGTTCCCCTGTCAGCGTTTGGACGAGGAGCAGTGCTATAACGTAGGAATGTGACAGTGTGTGGATGAATTAATTTGTTTGACTAATAGCAGTGTACGTAGTGTAGTTCCTGTCCCGATGCGATACTGTTAACAAGAGGAGAATGCAAGTAACAGACTTGGCGGTAAATCTCTTCCAGAAGAAAAGGAGGCAGAAGAGAACAAGGAGAACGTTGATGCAATCAAAGACAAAGAAAACGAGGCTGGGAAGAAGAAAGTGGAACATGAAATCTCGGAAGGAAACGTAGCTACAGCTGCAGCTGCTGCCCTTGCCTCAGCTGCCACCAAAGCAAAGGTTTGTTTTGTACAAATATCCATTGGCTTGCTTTCCAGTTTGCATTAGAACTCTTCTTAAAACGGTCCTTTGTTCCAGATCTGTGCAGTTTCACGTTCTGATCTCTAATACCTTGAAGGAGCACAAGTGCCTTCTTCAGTTTCTTCTGCTTGAACTCCTAAGTGAAATAGTGTACAATTTTAATTTGGGGAACTACTTTTATGATTATGAAGCTGATGAACATCCCTAAGAAATAGCCCCAAAATGTGTTTGTCAATTTTTGGAAGGACTTTTCTCTGCTCAGTAGATCTGGCTGTAATGCTGAGGGCTTAGGTGTAGGTGGGGAAACCCTCGTGTTGCCTTTTTTTGCTGTGCCACCGGCTGTTCTCTGGACTTCACGCAAACCTTCTGTTTTTGGACTCTTTGTCTATAAAAACAACGCAATGTTCGATTCTAGTATTACAAATTTTTATAGACAACTGATTTTTGTTGTTGTTAAGAGGTACTGTGTGTCTGTTGAAAGCACATTCTGGTCTTTCTATCATTAAACTGTTTGTAGTCTCTTAGTGACATGTTTGAATCCATGTCCTATCTAATAGCTTTTCTTTACCCTATAATTATTAATTGCAAGTTGTCTTTAATTTTCTTTTTGCAAGAACCAGACTTCCTTCTCTCCTTTCAGAATATCTTCTTCAAAATCCATTTCTCCTTACATAGTTTTTGGATTCAAGTCGTAGTTTGGGTTTCTTAATCACTCTTGGATTCAGTGCCAAGTTGCATGTCACCTACTTTATAGATACCAAAAGCAAAGCACGGATGGTGTTTATTTCCTGATGGATTTCCAGGACGTAATAGTGCACCTAATGAGGTGTTGCATGTACTGACTTTTCCAGTCAGATCTTTGACTCTTATAACTTCAGACTTTTTTTTCCAACAGCATCATATACACTGACGATAGTGCGGTGATAGGTGTTGTCATGATGATAGTCTCTCCTTTATGAACCCAGGGGATTTGAGGATATTTGTAGTTATTACCTTTCAAGCCAGGTTCTAAAATCACAAGCTGCATGAGTTCAGTGTCGCTTAGTGTCACAGCTAGGCACCCTAGCTGTGTGGAGTCCCGCTTTGCAGGCGAACTTCAGGTTCATTATTTCGGTGAATTGCAGAGTCCTAACTGGCTCCCTTGTGCATCACTTCACCTGTCTGCATGTGAACGTGTGGTGCTGCAAGCACCAAGCTCTTTTACCAGAGTAACTTACTACCACTTCATCAGACTTACAGATAGTTTCAGCCAAGTTGAAAAATACCAAAACCCTGCATATATATATAAGGAGGCATGAAGTTTAATCTCTATTTTTATGGAAGGCTGCTTGCTCCAAATAAAGATGATCTGCTTTCCTTCCTTGGGTGTTGACAAGTGCTAGAGGGAGATGGGACTTGGCTAATGGCAGTTTTCATTATGGTAATGGTAATATTCTAGAAGAATTTTAGCCTTATATTACAGGAAGTAATATAATTGGGATGTTCACACTTCAGCGTAGAATTCAAGTTCAACAGGGATTTCTCTTTCCACTTGCACTTAAAAACCCAGACAGGGCTTTCAGTGAGCTGTATCTTGTCTGAGAGTAATTCAGCTCTTCATAATGAACTCAAGACCTCGTTGTGTGAAGAGCTGTTACAAAGCTGTTTTCCTTACAATTTTATATCAGAGGAGTATTGCAGTTGACTTCTAAGGAGAAACAGGGGTTAAAGGCAGGCACTTGAAGTGGTTTTTCTGGGATTTTGGTAGGTTTTTTCCTTTTGCGGTAAGTAGCTTCACCAATAAGTTGTCTTATATGAGAAATAGTATGCAGTGACTGTGTACATTTTGGGGTGAGACACTGTATTACTACATATAGAATAGAGCAACAATTTTAAACGTGTTTTTACAGGTTACGGCTTCTGTACAAACAATATTAGAATTTAAATCCCTTTTTGCTCATTTTCTTCTCAGATACTTATAACAATATAAGCTATTTTTTCCTTTCTGTGCATAAGTAGCACATGATAGAAAATGTCCCCTCTCCTGCTGATTGCTGTTAGCTGTTGTCCAGTTGTGATCAATCATCGTGCCCCTGGACTCGGCCCCGGTGAGGCCGCACCTCGAATCCTGTGTTCAGAGTTGGGCCCCTCACTCCAAGAAGGACGTTGAGGTGCTGGAGCGTGTCCAGAGAAGGGCGACGGAGCTGGGGAGGGGTCTGGAGCACAAGTCTGATGGGGAGCGGCCGAGGGAACTGGGGGTGTTCAGTCTGGAGAAGAGGAGGCTGAGGGGAGCCCTCATCGCTCTCTGCAACTGCCTGAAAGGGGGTTGTGGTGAGGTGGGGGTTGGTCTCTTCTCCCAAGTAACCAGCGACAGGACGAGAGGAAACGGCCTCAAGTTGCGCCGGGGGAGGGTTAGATTGGGTGTTGGGGGAAATTTCTGTACTGAGAGAGTGGTCAGGCATTGGCACAGGCTGCCCGGGGAGGTGATGGAGTCACCGTCCCTGGAGGTGTTCAAAAAAACGTGTGGATGTGGAGCTTCAGGACATGGTTTAGGGAACATGGTGGCGCTGGATTAATGGTTGGACTTGATGATCTTGAGGGTCCTTTCCAGCCTTGGTGATTCTGTGATACTTTTCTCTGCCTGTTGCAATTTCAGTGAACCTGTTGCATGTGGATGAGAAGAGTTCAGCACAGTATTCCAGTGAGTTGGTGCTAGGATGCTATCCATTTTCCAGAAGTCTCCTGTGGTCTAGCTTTACAGTTGTCTGTACCAGTTGTCACACTCGTGCTCCTGCTGTGATGAGCTAATTTCACAACTAAAGCTAGGTTTAAGAAGAGCAGGGGATGGGCTAGATTCTGTGAAACTGCCTGTAATGTGTGTGTTAGCTGAGTAGCTGGCCTTGTGATGCCTCCTAAGGTTATCAGTATTCACCCAGAGATACAATTTCGGAGTCATCACTGTGGCATCGGGCAGGAGCCCAGGTGCAGAGGCACTAGTCGCTGTACTTGTGTTTAGGGCTCCCATGTTTAAGTAGCAAACCAAAGCGTCGTTCTGTACCCGCCCTCAGCCAGAGGCCAGATAGACCTTGCTTAGTGATGCTCAGGTCGTTGAATCGCTGTGTCCCAGGACAATGTCACATGCTGTCGTCTTTGCTTATTTATGACTTGTTAAGGTGGATGCAGTGATATGTTTATAAGGCAAGTTAAGTCACTATTAATTTTGTCTTAATTTTTTTTTGTCAGTAGCAGAGTTAGTAATGACTTGTTCTTTGTCCCCATGAAAGCGCTGGGTAATGTCAGGCTAAGGAGCAGTCTCTTTGGGTCTCTTCAGGAAAAAACTTTAATGGTGATTTCCTTTTTAATGTGTATTTTGAGACCTGTCTTTTACCTAATCATGTACCTTGCTGATTTTTTGTTAATCGTATTTCATTGTTAAAATTGCACCCATCAGGCAAGGCAAAATGACTGTCAGAAGGCTGTGTGTATCAACAAAGGCACTTCTGTCACTCTGACTTTCCATGCAAATGAGTTTGATTTACTGAACAGTATTAATTGATGTTGAATTTTCTAGTTCTGTCAGCCATTCAGTTACTTTATTTCAGATGTGTGCACCACTGGTCAGTATTTAACGGAATACCCTACTGGAACTTCACAGTGGCGTGCTGTTAGATGAACTTGGGTGATCACTCTGGTTCGCTCAGACTGTACCTGATTTAAACTTAGTGAGAGTTGATTCAAACTTAGTGAGAGTCTTGAATGCATGTTGCTGAGATTTACTGGATATATGCTGTATTGCTGGTGGGTTACCAGAGGTGAATGCTGTCAAATGACACAATGTGTTAGTGATGGAAACAATATCATATGTTTTTGAAAAATTCTGTTTATAAATAGGATTACCACGGAGTTTTATGGTGCTCCTTTTCTCTAGCTCATTATTTCTCCCAGTTCTGAGCCAAGGTTTGGGGCACAGCTCGCTAAATATGAGTCTCTGTTTGCAGCTTGAGCTGGAGGAGATCCAGCTTTTTCTTTTTCCTTCCTTCCCCTTGGCCCTCACCTTTCCCTTCTCAAAAGCCAGCCTTCCTTCCCCCTCAACCCTTGGGTGTATCAGTAGGGCTTTGCTTGGACGCTGTGGTTGGGAAACATCCTTTTACTATCAATACAGAAACTTCCAAGCAGTGCACGTGATGGGTGTTTAATTTTGCGTGTATTTTCATTTGAACAGCAAGCTTTTAGCAAACGCTAGTAGAAGGCATCATTAACGTGCCTTTCACACTTGGCAAATGTGAAACGCTTTATAGGCTGTCTCATATATCACATATATATACCCTGTATCATATATGGGTATATGTAAAGGGGGTAAAGCCTTGTAAAGAATCTATTTCCCTTTTTCTGCAGTTCACTTTTGCAGTTTAAATACAGCTTTGCCTTCAGCTTTCTTTTGCAATAGGAATACTATGCAACCTGGTTATGAAAGGAAACTGGAAATTTTTTTTTTAACAGTTGCTTCTAATACCTGTGTAGAGATTTCTCTGCAAGCTCTCCCTAGCCCGAGGTGGAACCGCTGTGCTGAGAAAGCTTATCGTTTAGTGGTGTGGTGCTGCATGTAATGGGAATACGTTTAACGGGATACATAGCTTCTCATTTACTTCAGCAAAAAATATTTCAATGGCAAAGGCATGCAAGAGTCATCTCGCTGGTTTGGAGGTTGTTCCAGGTAAAAGCTTTCCGTGTGTGTTTTGGTGAGAGCTTTTTGGATGACCTGCAGCTGACTCGGTACAACATACCCTTCCTCCCTCATTTGCATTTCCACTGAAAGTGCTCTCTGTTGCAGAGCACTCGCAAGGCTTCCAGGCAAAGCTGGATTGCTTTTGAGTACTGAGCATCCACAATACCTCTTGTATTAGGACTTGACACCTATTTATTTGATTAAAAGCTTAATAATCTTCTAAGGGCTACTGGTTTTGAGCTTAAGATTGATAACCTAATGCCCTGTTTTCTGTCCAGAAGTGGAATAGGGTGGGTAAAGCTAGATGCAGGCGTAGTTGGCTTATTCGTTCCCTTAAAGCACTTTATTTTGTGGAATGCATGTAAAGCAAAAACCTGTGCTTTATCCTCAGCACCTAGCAGCGGTGGAAGAAAGAAAGATCAAGTCCCTGGTCGCCCTTCTGGTGGAAACGCAGATGAAGAAGCTGGAGATAAAACTTCGCCATTTTGAGGAACTGGAAACCATTATGGACAGAGAGAAAGAAGCAGTAAGTAGGGGGGTACTAATCCGAAATTCTGCATTAAATCACTGCAAAGGTCTATGTATGCTAACAGCTGGAAAACTAGCAACTTCAGCTGTTTCTCACCTTCATGCAGGTCTTTCTCCTTCAGCTAGAATTCATAATTACCTCCTACAGTAGTGTTTGAGCCCTGTCCTTTATCCAGCATCTTCTCTTAACCGTAATCAGCAAACTGGTGATATGCTAGATTTGCTTGCTAATGCTTTCTCCTGTCATTTAAGCATGAATGTGGAGTTGGTCCTGAGCCTTTATCTAGGCCTTTACCACATGAGTGATATCTGACTGTGGTGAGTTGACCTTGGCTAGATGCTGGGTGCTCACCAAAGCTGCTCTATCACTGCCCCTCCTCAGCTGGACGGGGGAGAGAAAAAATATAACAAAAACTCGTGGGTCAAGATAAGGATAGGGAGAGATCATTCAGCAGTTATTGTCATGGGCAAAACAGACTCGACTTGGGGAAATGAGTTTAATTTATTGCCAACCAAATCAGAGCAGAGATAATGAGAACTAAACCCAA